ATATTATTTATTTAATATATTTAATATATTATTTATTTAATATATTTAATAATATTATTTATTTAATATATTATTACATGTTTTCAAAAATTAAACCACCAAACGCAGTTTCAGTTTTTTTTAAAACTGAAATCAATCTCTAAATAAAACTACCAAACGCATTTTCAGAAATAATTCAAAAATGAAAATAAAAACGTTTTCATTTCCATTTTCGTACAGAAAACAAAAACGTTTTGGAATCAATTCCAAACGCACCCTATATATCTTGATCAAGAAATCGTGGTTGAATGTGGTCTGTAACTTTTGATTTTAGTGGAACGAATTGCTGATATTACTATTCCTTCTGTTTGTTCTTTTCTATATGTTCCTATGTACTTAGTTTGAGCCCTTCCTACGTAACTATTTCAGAGCAAAAGATGAAATTATGCAACTAATTTAATCTGGAAGAAATATCCTACTTGGGAGCTTTCTTTACATAAATAATTATTGGTTCCTTCTAAGATAAAGTTTGTTGCAAACATTCATCGTTATTATGCTTTTCTCTTCACCTAAAATGTATGGGCCTTGCTTAGGCACGGGGATGAAATCTAATATATTTCTGGCTTGAGGTTAGTCTTAGCCTTAGCACCTCGGCCCCGGTCATTGTTTGTATTGAGAAAAATGTTAGCCAGTGGTATTAAGGCTCCTAAGGAACTAAAAGATACTGAAAATCTTATACGTATTTAATGAAGTTTTCGTTTCTTATATAAAAAAAAAGATACTGAAAATCTTATTAATCACAGATTCCTCATTCCTCTGTTCGGAAACTCCTGTCAACTCTGCCTCCCCCAGACTCCAGTATGTTCCGTGTTGATTTTCGCTCAAATCATGTCCATTATCTCAATAATTTAGAAGAAGATGCGATGTATAAGCGATGGAGGAACAATATAAATGAGGCAAGAAAATATCCTCTCTGAATTTCTAGCGTTTATTTTATTTTATTTTTTTATATTTTCCTCCCTATTCCAGTTGTATGGCTTTGCAAGTGAAAGGCTTTATAATAAAAGAGTTTCTGAATTTGTGCAGATTTTGATGCCAGTTTTCCCTGGTCAGCTACGGTACATTCGCAAGAACCTTTTTCATGCTGTTTATGTTATTGATCCGGCTACCATATGTGGTCTTGAGGCAAGTTTACGTCTTCTCGTGAAAGAAGGTTCTCACTTATTCTGTTATATCTGGCTGCTGATGATTTAAATGATTGGAATCTTGCAGTCAATTGACATGATAACATCTTTGTATGAGAATAGTTTTCCCATGAGATTTGGGGTCATACTATATTCGTCGAATTTGATCAAGCAAATTGAAAAGAGTGGAGGTGAAATAAATACTTCTGTGGATGACAACGGTTTGAATGAGGAAGATTTATCTAGTTTGGTAATTTTTCCTTTAGCTTCTGCTATCCTCCTTGAGGTCCTTTTTTCACGTTTGGTTAAAGGAGATTATTATCAGCTTTTATAGTGTCTCTGCTGCTTGTTCACCCTACGAAGTTCTTTTTTATCTCTTAATGGGAACTCTTAAAAAAAGTTTCTTTTCCAAGTTTTCGGACTTATGAAATGTTGATGGTGCTTTTACTTTGCAGATCATACGTCTCTTCCTTTATGTTAAGGAAAATCATGGAATTCAAACAGCTTTCCAGTTTATGAGCAATGTATGAGTTGTTCCTACCATTATATTTTATGTCTTTTTGGTTGACATGTTCTCTAATAGTTTTTTACTTTTCTTATGTTGGGGGAAGGAAAAAAATGCAACTCTACAAGTGATTGTTTCTCTTGATAGGTAAATAAATTGCGGATTGAATCAGATGGTCCTGACGATGATGCTATGGAAAGGCAGCATGTGGAAGGAGCATTTGTAGAAACTATCTTGTGAGTTCTTTATATAAATTATATTTTCTTTTTCTTTTTTTAATAAACATGTAACTTATATGTCTGACATCTGATATAATGGTGGTGAGTTCTTGTTCATGCGGTTTTCCTCTCATAGCATTGACTGATAGCCTCAAACTGAGATGATTATTGGGTGATTTCATTCTCTTCCTGTAGGCCAAAGGCAAAATCTCTTCCTCAAGATTTGTTACTCAACCTACAAAGGGAAAAAACTTTTAAGGAATTGTCTGAAGAAAGCACCATGCTTGTCTTTAAGCTGGGCCTGGCGAAGCTTAAGTGTTGCTTGTTAATGAACGGACTCGTCTTTGATACTAACGAGGTATTGCTTTGGATTCTCTGATAATTCTATCATTAACTATAAATTTTATTTATTTTTTCTTGTGGATCAACTAGAGTCTATTAGCATGTGAGCTGGGCGAACTAAAATGTTGTGCGTGTTTAGAACCTTTTTGAAAACGGTTTTCACGTATTTCGAGAAGCAAAAAATGAAAATGAAAATGAAACTACGTTTGTTTAGCAAATGTTTTGAAAACAAAAACAGTGAGAATGGTTTTTGTGAAGGAACTAGAAAACGGTTGGAAGTTGTTTTCCCTTTTTTGTTTTCATTTTCTAGTACTTATCAACAATATTATAATATATTAATTAATAATTATAACCAAACACGATTTCACTTTTTTCTTATACTCAAAACAATCTCTTAAAAAACCAACCAAACGCAATTTCAGAAATGGTCCTAGAATGATTCTCAAAACAATTTCATTTTTACTTTTTATTGAAAATAAAATTATTTTGAAACCAATTTCAAACGCACCCGTTATCTTTGAGTGAGCCATTGACATTTTTAACATTGGCATTTATCTTGAGATTTGTCTTTGACAGCCTGAGACTTTTTACTGTGTGTACTAGGTGTTTGGCCCGTCCTGCAAAACTTTGTGGTAGTGGACTCTTAACATGTTTAAATCTATCCTAAGAATTCACATGGGTTTACATTTGTTGCAAAGAAGAGTTACCTAAATTTTATGCGCCCGCGTGCGTGCGTGTGTTTCTTTTTCTTTTTTCCTTTTCTTTTCTTTTTTGAAAGAAGTTCCCTGTATGGTTTTATTTCCATGATGTTGTGTTTTTTGATGCAAGGAAAATGGTTACCGCTTAGACTATTCTTTTCTTGATTCTAAATACACATTGAAGCTTTGGTCCTATCTACAAAAGGAATTTAATCTTGCTTAGGCAAATACCAAGAAGATGAATAGATTTGTTTGTGGACAGAATTATGGGGCATTGGTAGCAAAGTGGCTACAATCTGTAGTGTTGCAATTGTAGCATAAGTTTGAGTTGTGTGGCAATATTATTGTATGGCCAGATTTTTGGCCCCGCTCTGCCTTTTTTTTTTAATTCAATCATCACAATTTCTCATCCTCTTTTCTTGTGATTGATTAACTATCAATAATTGGGGCTTTTCCTATCACCAACAACAACAAATACAGGCCTTAATCCTAAATTAATTGGGGTCGGCTATATGGATTTCTTGTTTCCAATCTGCTCTATTAAACACGAGACCCTCCTGAATCCTTAGATCTTGAAAGTCGTGCCTAACTACGTCGGCCCAAATAATTCTTGGTCTACCCCTCGCTCTTCTAGTACTAGGTATTTGGATGTTCTCCCAAGCACGAACATGTGCATCTAACGATCTATGTTGTACATGCCCGTACCACGTTTTCCCGCACCTTATCTTCTATTGGTGCTACACCTAGTTTAGTACGAATAACTTCATTCCGTATGGGATCCATCCTCGTATTTGGATGTTCCTATCACTAAAAAAAATAAAAAATAAAATAAAGAAAATATAAAAGAAGATGCAGATCATTGTGGGAGAGGATTAAAGTATTGGGCATCTTTATGATACGGGCTACCGAGGTATTCCGTGTGGTTCCTCTTTATGATGGTTTTATTCGGTTGGAAGGAATTGTTTTGATTTGTGCATTTTTGGTTTTTATTTAATTTTTTTAAATTGATATCTTGATTAATGATAAAATATTGTCATATCTTGCAATTCCTTTTCCGTTATTAATAAATTTCTGTTTTTATAGATTATAAGAAAAGTGATTATTATGGGTTAGCTAGTCTTGCAATTATTTTCTATTAATCAGTTTAGTCTTGCAAGTTTTATTGCTGGAAGTTCTTTAATTCTTTTTGATTCGCTAGTTTTAATTTGTTGTAGTTACGACAAAACTGTTCTTATGTTCTATGATGATTATGATACTTGTTTCAGGAGTCTCTTATGAATGCAATGAATGATGAGCTTCCAAGAATACAGGAGCAGGTTTACTACGGGCATATAAATTCTCACACAGATGTACTTGACAAATTTTTATCAGAAAGTGGTATTAGCCGCTATAATCCACAGGTGAAGTAGCATCTCTTAGGAAAACATATGCTTTATGTTTGATGTATTTTTAATGGTTTTTTGTATAATCTCTTTTTGTAGATCATTGCTGATGTAAAGCCAAGATTCATCTCTCTTTCTGCATTCATTCTTGGAGATGAAGTTGTTCTAAACAATGTTAACTACCTGCATTCTCCTGGAAGTAAGCTTCATTTAGTTGAATTCTTTAGTTTCATCTATTGTCCTGCTTAGTCATTGTTGACCGGTGGTTTATTCCTTGCTATGCAGCTGTTGATGATTTGAAGCCTGTGACTCATCTTCTTGCTGTTGATGTCACATCGGGAAAAGGAATGAAGTTGCTTCATGAAGGCTTACGCTACCTGGTTAATATCTATAACCCATATGCTACGTCTTTGTTATTTTCATGATAGACCCATCACTATCTCTTTGCCACGATTGTGTCCATACTTGAAGTTTTTGACTTTTGTATCATGACGCAGATGAAAGGATCAAAGGTTGCCCGATTGGGTGTGCTATTTAATTGCAATCATGATGCTGATGCCTCTAGCCTCCTCTTTATGAAAGCGTTTGAAATCACCACTTCTTCATTCAGGTGTGTTGAGTTTACGAAAGCATAATGGTTTGTCACGAATTCATAGTTCAGTGGATCTTAACTGCTTGACGGATGTCTCATGCAGTCATAAGAAAAATGTAATAGACTTCTTGGACCAGTTGTCCTCATTCTATGAGAACAATTTCCTGCCTATGTCATCTGAAGCTTCTGGGAGCACTCCGACGTTTATAGACAAAGTTGCTGAGATTGCTGTGGCTAATGGGTTGTCATCCAAAACCTACATCACTGCTCTCTCTGATTTTTCTGCTGAAAATTTGAGAAAACATTACAATAAGGTATACGGTTTCACTTCTGATCTCTGTAATCTATTAAAAATTAAATAAGTCTGATATTTTCTCTTCATAATATTTTCTGTGGCTCGTGGAAAATGGTTAAATAGTAGAGGATTCTTCAAAAGCTATTTTTAAGAAGAATCTTAAGAAGTTTTGGGAATTTTCATCTCTAAGCTTATTGGAGTGTTTATTTTACTTTTCAGGTTACACAGCTTTTATATAGGAAATTTGGGCTTGAGTCGGGTGGCAGCGCTGTCATTACTAATGGAAGGGTGAGTTGACGTGGAAAAAAGCTTACCATGGAAATGTGATATTAATACTTATTTTGATTGATTTTGGTAATTAGGATTCTAGATTTGTTGATAGAGCTAATATTTCTTTAGCCATTTATATAATGTTATTTTTCTCTGTGTTTGCTAATGATTCTGAGTACGGTAATGGATTATTTCTTTCGTCTTTGCAATTGTGTAATCATTTTCATATTATGTGGAATTTTAAATGCGTATGAAATCATAATTGTTGTTTTTTATATAAACTGCATGATTTGGTATTTTTAGGTGATGTATCCAAGTGATGGAAGCACGTTTTTGAGCCATGATCTGCATCTTCTGGAGTCAGTGGAGTTTAAGCAGAGAATAAAGCTCATTGTGGAAATTATTGACGAAGTGAACTGGCAAGATGTGGATCCTGATACACTAACAAGGTTTCTTGGATACTCTTCCTTTTTGTGGTGGTCTTTTTTTATTTTATTTTATTATTATATATGTATTTTAAAATTTATTTGGACTTTATGGTGCACTCAATTTTTGTTTTGACTTTACTGATGAGGAGGAAGATTGTTACAATGTATACACTTTTCCCTGTTACTAAAAGAACCTCTAGGTTGTTGGCCTTAATTGTTGTTCCAACCAAAAGATAGTTAAATCTTTGTTCTCAGCGACATTCTATGGTTTTAGTCTTGTTACTTGTTGCTGAAGGAAATTGGTTTAGTTTAGGGGACCCCTTTTAGCTGCAGGTGTTTCTTGCTACAGAGTTTTTGGGGGGTGGTGGAGAAAGTAGGAAAGCAAATGGGTTATTAGGTTGGAAAGGGACTTACCTATTTTTCGAGAAGATTTTCAGGAAATCATGCAGGACAGGATTCTTTTTCTTTCTTTTTCTTTTTTTTTTTTTTGCGTTTTTTGCTTGTTTGCTTTTGTTTTTTCTTTTCCTGTTATGATTTACTGAAGTTGGCAGAATGTGGTAATTGTTTCAGTTTTTGTTTATTCTTTACGTTGTTTTCTGGACCAATTTTTATCCTCCTTTATGTTTTCTCTTTTCTTTTAAAACATGACTATTAAAAGAAAGGAAAAAAAAAGATTTGGCGAGCGCAAAGCCAGTCTCTTTTTAGTAAATCTTGAAATATTTGCTATGTTACTTTACTTTTAGCTTTAGAACTTGTGAAATGTAAAATAAACGAAAGATACAAGTTTTGACTCAAGAACTTTAGCGTCAGAAGGGCTAAATAATTAGGACAGTTGTCTATGTGTTCTTGTTGGACCCTAACATAATTTAGTCAAATTTATGTCATGTGTAATTTATTGCAACTCATTTATTTCCTTTCCCTCTAGTTTGTACATGACGCAGCAGCAAGGAACTCATGATCTTTGCAATTTGAAATTGCAGCAAATTCATCAGTGATATTGTAATGTTGGTTTCGTCTTCAATGGCAATGCGGGATCGCAGTTCTGAAAGTGCGCGTTTTGAGGTTTTACATGCACAACATAGGTATTTTTCCTTTTTGTCAAAGTCTGTTTCTTTCTCTATATATACACATGCACACAATCATGCCAACTTGCCTAATTTTTGAAACATTTTCAAATAAACATCTGAGTAAGACTTTTAATTGTTGATTCTTGATAGAGAATTTGGAGCTACGGTTTTTTGAATTTGGTGTTTTCAATGTTCATTAGGTCTTACATTTTTGTTTTTTAATTTTCCTGCAGTGCTGTTATCTTAGGCAACGAGAATTCAAGCATCCATATTGATGCAGTGATTGATCCTTTGAGTCAAACTGGCCAGAAGGTTTCTTCACTTCTTCGTGTTTTGTGGAAATATGTTCAGCCTAGTATGAGGATTGTTCTAAATCCAATGGTGAGACTATTTCTTCTGTGTTATTTCCATGTCATGCATGTCAATATGCAATAACTTCGCCATATTTTGTTTAGTCTTTTTCTCCCTTCTTTTGTCCCTAATCTTGCCATATTTGTCCTTGTGTTATCTGCTGTTCATATACATTCTTTTAATTGCTTTGACTTTCTCCACAAATAAACCCTTTCTATGTCACCCCCAAAAAAAAATATATCAGATTCACACACGTGTGCGTGCACACGAATATCAAAAGATCAATAGTTGGATGCCTTTCATTAGTCAAGAGCAGCATCTTGTTCATAGAAAAATTACCATCTTTATTTGAAGTATTATGCACAGGTCATATGAAGTATGTATTGTGTTCCTTGCAGTACCTTTACTAACATAATTGTCTAAGCTTTTACACGTGCTTTGAGGAATTAATTTCTTTCTTCCTTGCAGAGTTCCCTTGTTGATCTTCCTCTGAAGAATTACTACAGATATGTAGTGCCATCTATGCCAAAAAAAAAGAAGAAAAGTTCTAGCTTGGTATCTAAGTCTTGCTATACTTTGCAGGATGACTTTAGCAGCATTGACCAGACAATAGATGGACCTAAAGCATTTTTCACAAACATGCCATTGTCCAAAACTCTGACCATGAATCTTGATGTTCCTGAGCCATGGCTTGTTGAGCCTGTGATTGCCGTGTATGATTGTTTTTCTTAACCTGTGCACTCTTCCTCTAGTCGGGAAAAAAAAAAATGAAAACCTTTAATTTCATTCTAGAGTTGGTACTTAATATCCCTATTCTGAAATGTAGAATTTGTGGAAAAAAATGTACTACGACTTCAATCATTTTCACTATTTCCCCTTTTCTATTTCTCTTTTCATTCTTATTGACAGCCATGACATGGACAATATTTTACTTGAGAATGTTGGTGACACGCGAACATTGCAAGCGGTATTTGAACTTGAAGCTCTTGTTCTAACTGGTACGGCAGTCTTTTCACAAGTGTGGATATAATTTAGTGCAAGTTACGAGGTGAGAGATTATTGTATTCTGTTATGTATTTACAAGCCATATCTAAGCAGGTCATTGTTCTGAGAAAGATCATGATCCTCCCAGAGGCCTTCAACTGATTCTTGGCACTAAGACTACACCCCACTTGGTTGATACTCTTGTAATGGCCAATCTAGGATATTGGCAAATGAAAGTCTCTCCTGGGGTGTGGTATTTGCAACTTGCTCCTGGTAGAAGTTCCGAGCTTTATGATTTCAAGGAAAGTGGTGATGGAAATCAGCAAAAGCCGTTGTCAAAGCGAATCACAATGGACGATTTGCGAGGTAAAGTAGTTCATTTGGAAGTAGTGAAAAAGAAGGGAAAGGAGCATGAGAAGTTGCTGGTATCGGATGACGATGACAGTTCACAGGATGACAAAAAAGTTAGTGCTTGCTGCTATTAGCTTCCTATTATCTGCTGTATTAGGTCGATGTTAATTACACTATTGTCTTCTGGTTGAATTATTGCAGGGAAACAGCTGGAACTCCAACCTTCTGAAATGGGCTTCTGGTATTATTGGTGGCAGCGAGCAATCAAAGAAGAGCAAAAGCACATTAGTGGTGGGGAATTTTATGTTTCTTTCTAGGTTTTCGTTTGTTCATTTGCTTATATGTTGAATCTTGAAAACATACAGTTCACATATCTGTTTGATCTATTTATTCCTCTTATTCTCTCTCTCTCTCTCTCTCTCTCTCTCTCTCTTTTTTCTCCTCTTTGTACTTGTTTTGTCTTTGAATAAAGTTTTGGTGTCTCCACCAAAGTATGAACTTTGACGTGAACTTTGACATGTTGGCACAAATTTATTTGTTAAAATCTTCGCTAAAGCGTGGTTTTTATATGGTGATAACCTTTTCTTTATTGTTAACTTCTTAGGAGCAAGGAAAGAGAGGACGACATGGAAAAACAATAAATATTTTTTCAATAGCTTCTGGACACTTGTAAGTATTGCTTCTTTTAGATAATTTCTGTCGCTGATCTACCTGTAATTGTCCCGTTGTTTTCTGCCTTTTGTTTTTGTTTTTACTTTTGCTTTTTTGTGTTTTTGTTTTTGTTTTTGTTCTTTTTTTTTCTTGGTAGTAGAACTATACTGTCTAAATAGCTCTTTTCTGATGTTCTTGTCTATCAAGTTACTTTATCGAGTTCTCAGCAAAAAATAAAATAAGTTACTTTATGATGATTTAATTTTCTTGTTGAGGACCCTAGTCCTATCAATTTGGTAATTCCCTTATTGTTATTAACAAATTGTTCTGTTTACTTTTTCGTTTTCTTTGTGGTTTGCAGATACGAACGTTTTCTGAAAATCATGATTCTGAGTGTCCTGAAGAACACTAATCGTCCAGTTAAATTCTGGTTCATAAAGAACTACCTCTCACCTCAGTTCAAGGTTGTGAATATCTAAAGTTGCAATCTCTCTTTTCTTTCCTTTGTTTTCCGAATTTTTGATACTTGAAGAGAGGAATTCACAATTTTTTCAGTATGAATTACTTCTCTTATAATTATTGCTGGTTCTGTTGATATGCAGGATGTGATACCTCATATGGCTCAAGAATATGGTTTCGAGTATGAGCTTGTCACGTACAAGTGGCCGACATGGTTGCATAAGCAAAAAGAAAAACAACGAATTATTTGGGCTTACAAAATCTTGTTCCTAGATGTCATCTTTCCTCTTTCTTTGGAAAAGGTCTTGATATTAGCATTGCTTATTCATTTCTTATTGCTTGTTCATTTCTTGAGACACACCGAAATGTGTATTTGACATCTTCCTCTATCCACAGGTCATTTTCGTTGATGCGGACCAGGTTGTCAGGGCAGACATGGGAGAACTCTATGACATGGATATAAAAGGAAGGCCGCTAGCATATACTCCTTTCTGCGATAACAACAAGGATATGGATGGATATCGATTTTGGAGACAAGTAATGACTCTTTCTCTTTGTTAACACTCGGAAAACACGATTGCTGTTAAGTTAGTCTGTGATTGTTGTCATACTAATACTCTATTGGTTTCTTACTGCATTTCCTTATTTTGTGGATTAGGGTTTCTGGAAAGAACATTTACGCGGTAGACCATATCATATCAGGTTACCACTTGCTTATTTCATGATATAGAAATTGGACTTGTTTAAAAAACAGCTTTGACTTGATAATTGCTGTGTGTTCTGCAGTGCTTTGTACGTTGTTGATTTGAAGAAAGTCCGGCAGACTGCAGCAGGGGATAATCTTAGAGTTTTCTATGAATCTCTTAGTAAGGATCCGAACAGTTTATCCAATCTGGATCAGGCAAGTGGCTTAAGTTCATTATGACAATTTGCCTGTTGAACATAATCATCGTGATGATCATGTCCAAAAGTACAGGGATTAAGTGTATATGTCCTACTCTTCTATATGTCCACTCGACTTGCCTTTTCATCTCAACCTATGAATGACAACTGGAGATCATCATAAATATATATAAAGATAAATCATGAAAGAATAGTCTTTTTCAAAAAAAAAAAAAAAAAGAAAGAAAGAATAGTTACTTTTTGGATAAGTACTCGCCTTCAATTTCCAGCCAATGATGAAAATGAAACAGATATTCTTTTCTTAGAAAAGAAAACGTTTTACTATCCCTGGCATCTCACTGTTTTATATTCCATCGAACATCTGACCGCTTGCTAATTCTATCTTTAGATTCATGGCCTTAACTTAAAGACGAGGCAAATTTCTAATGTCGACTGTTTCACATTCAGGATCTTCCAAACTATGCGCAGCACACAGTACCCATCTTTTCACTGCCACAAGAATGGCTGTGGTGTGAGTCATGGTGCGGTAATTCCACAAAGTCAAAGGCAAAAACAATTGATCTTTGCAACAATCCTATGACCAAGGAACCAAAGCTTCAGGTAGATATAATTTTCAAGTGCATCAGTAACATATATCATTACTTATTATCAACTTTCTTTACCTTGTTCCTTTTCTCAAAAAAAAAAAGGGAAAGAAAAAAGATAATTCTCTGAACTTTTCATTCTGTGTTGTCGGGTTTGAAGGGTGCCAGAAGAATTGTTTCCGAGTGGGTAGATCTAGATTTGGAGGCTAGACAGTTCACTGCGAAGATCTTAGGCGATCAAATAGATGAGGCGACGCCTCCTCAGTCACAGGATCCAATCACGGCAGACCAGTCACCGGAGGACCTTGAATCGAAGGCAGAATTGTGAGAATACGCGTCAACACATATTTGCTTCAATATGGCCCTCTTAGAGTGCGACCTAGGCATATCCGGTAACAGTTCACCTCATTCAACAATTATACTGCAAGGTACTGGCCCTTACAAATCATGAATCTCTCTTTTATAAACGAAGAGGTTTCGGAAAGCCTATTTTCCTGATAGAAGTGGTGACACTATGAAATATCTTTACAATCCAATTATTTCTTGTCATTTCTTGCAGATTTAAAGGGGCCTCTAGGTGATACAAATTTTGTAAGTTCCATTAATCTGTTTCTTGATCAGTTTTAATCAATAATATAAGGAATTTTGTTAACAATTGCACCATTTGATTGCAATATAATTTTCTTAAATGTAAACGAATTAAACATGTACAGATTTGTGTTGAGCATAGGATTGCTTTAGCCCGTTTAACATGATTATTTCATAGATTGTTGTAAAAGTAAAAAATAATGGCTATGGTGGCTGTCCACTTTTTTCTTGACAGATGAGCGCCGCAACGCGTGAGAATGCGTAAATGTATAGTAATGCATAATAACTTCAAGTTTCATTATATATATAGATGTTTTGCATTTCATACCGTGCACTTTTTTTTTTTTTAAACCCGCAACCCCCCAACCAAACTTCACACCACCCAAACCCCCAATACGACTAGACCAAGAGGTCTTAGGTCATACCGTGTACTTTTTGATATCAGTATTTAATAGCAGAGATTTTTTTTTTCAGTTTGTCTCTCTAAAATCTTTCTGTCAGTTTTATATCTCTTAGTTTTATAACGAAGAGTACATTTTACATACCTTTCACTTGATAAGTGTAGAAATTTGTAGTAGGAATATAACGCTCGTGCTAATAACGTGTTATAGAACCAAGAGATATAAAACAAATAGAAAGATTTTAGAGAGAAACTGAGAGAGAGAAGTTTCTGATATTAAATAGTGATATCAAAAAGTACATCGAATGAAATGTAAAATATCTATATTTATAATGAACTTGAAGTTACTGTGTTACTATACATTTACGCGTTCTCACGCGTTGCATTGCTCGTATGTAAGAAAAAAGGTGTACAACCATCATTTTTGACTTTTACAACACTTCCCTTTGGATGTCCACCTCTTATGATGCCTTTTAGGAAAAACCCAGTAGGATAAAAATCATAACAAAGAAAAAAAGAGTACATCATTATTATATACATGCTTTATGTTGGCTCGTTAAAAACCTTATCAGGAAAACTCAGTGGGATAAAACTATAATAAGGGAAAACAATACACTCACCTAAAACTCCTCAAGTTAATATGTACAGGCCTTTTTTATAAATCTCGCAGATAACGCATCTTGATACTGTGGATATGCTTTTTGAACATTGTAGTGTGAAGTGCATTTGCGAAAAGATCTGCTGCATTGTCATCTAATTGAATGTATTGAATATCAATATTATTGTTCTTTTTGAGCTCTTGGGAGTATGAGAAGAACTTTGGAGTAGATCAAGTGATATTACAGCAGATCTTTTCACAAAGACACTTCCCACTACAATGTTCATCGGGATGCATCGTACATGTCAACTTGAGGGTGAGTTTTATGTGATTGTACTCTTTTTTTCTTATTATGGTTTTATCCCATTGGGTTTTCTTGATAAGGTTTTTAATGAGATAACATAAAATACGTATATAATAATGATAGCTGATGATGGCAATTCACCTTTTCTCTAACAGACGAGCGGCGCGATGCATAAGAATACGTAAATGTATAGTAATGCACAATAACTTCAAGTTGCATTATAAATATAGACGTTTTGCATTTTATTCGATGCATTTTTTGACATCAGCATTTAATAGTAGAGATTTATTCTTTCTCATTTTATCTCTCTAAAATCTTTTTATCAGTTTTATATCTCTTAGTTTTATAATACAAATCATTTTATAGTTTGTATTTTTTATGGTGAAATTCGTCTCAATTGCATTACCTTGCCCATATTGAAATATTTAACGCGGCATTAATTAAATTAAGTTGACGATAGATATATTCATGGCACAACATGTGCTTTCAGCTTCAACAATATTGCAAATTGTTGGTTAAATCCTTGTGATTACGACAAGACTTAATTAAGTGTATTTATTATTTATCCAATACAATACCTATAATTAGACAGGTTAGTTCATATTCTACTCAACGACAAGCAGTTATTTATATATATATATATATATATATATACTTTTTTTCCAAAAAAGAAAAAAATAGAGAAAAAAAAAGAGAAGATATTCATGTAAACCTCACGAGTTGGGCTTAAAAGAGACAAATTTCATGAGTGGTTCAGCTCAACGTAACCTATGTCGTGTGGTTATTGAGCTTTTATTAACATTTATGCGATTACGTACTCAAACTATCACAAAGTTTCTCAATATTATTATATGTAAACAAGAGAAAGTAAAGCCTTGTATCAGAAAAGAGTAGGGGTGGTAATTCGTGTCACGTGTTGTGTTCGTATCGTGTTTTGGTCATTTTTTTTTAATTTGCAGTCAACCCGAACATGACCCGTGACACGAAATTTTTTAAAAATCGCAACACGAACACGACACGATAACTTTACGGATTGACACGACACGGCATGAAAATGACCCGTAACACGAAATTAACCCGTGAATATGAAATTAACACGAAAATTGTTTACTTTTATTTAGTTTTTTACATATTAGAAATAAGTTAAAATTCGTAACACACTAGAATACAATAACATCCATTGAAATGAAGCAAATAATAGTATAAGATTTTGAGTATAACTATTATGATATCACAAGTTCATAATAAAATTAAAAATATGTAATGAAAAATATATGTATTTTTTTAGTTTTTTACGAGTTTCGTGTCGTGTTCGAGTTAGGCAAGTCCAACCCGAAATTGACATGTGTTTTTTTCGTGTCAATTTCAAGTCGATCAAATTCTGACCTGAACATCTGTTTTCTCAACCCTAACCTGCAAAATTCGTGTCGTTTTTGAATCATATTGTCGTGTCGTGAGTCATATTACCGGCCCTAGAAAAGAGTGAATCTTTGCTTAGTCCTATCCTCTCCCTTTTATACCAATCTTCTGTTGATAATTGTCGAGCGTGGTCTGTATTTTACTTCGGGTGTTTCAAACATTTTGGGATCGCAATTGAGGGCGCGAGTCTTCCGTTGTAAAGGTTACGAGACAAAAGTTAAACTCTTCCTCGTGGCTCAAAACAAAGTTAAAGAGAGACTGCATTGTTTAGTGAGCAATCTTATTGACATGTCGTTGTCGGACATGCGACAAATCTATTTTCTGCGTGGTAGTCCACTCCTTTGTAGTAGGCCATTTTTTTCCTCCCCATTTAGAATTCCTAAGCACTCCCTTTTAGTGTTAAAAGAATTCATAATCAAGAGAGATTAGAAGGAGAATTAGTGAGCTAAAAATATTCAACTCGTGCACACACACTAGTTGATTCAAAGAGAGTAAAAAAGTAAGGATGATCAATTGGCATTGCAACTCTTTGTTCTTATTTAGGTTTGTTTGTTTCGCGGATTTGAATTTTGTGGGTTTAAATATATATGTGAGTTTTCTGTTGTTCAAACTGACGTTTGGTAGTGTAAGGTCTAAACAGATAATAAAGTTTGAACCAGCTGTGTTTGGTTACATTATTAGAACTATGGGTTTTAAAAAATGTGAGTGAAAATGCTTGGGTGGGAACCTCCGAGTTAGGTTTTTGAACAAGATTTTTGGTTAGAACCCAAAGAACTTTCCGTGGGGGCCATAAAACATTTAAATTTTGGGTTGAAGTGAACCTAAAATCCAAAATCAATATGAAACTAAACAAGGATTTAGACTATGTTTTGGGTTCAAACTTATAAGAACCCTCCAACTAAATGAGCACTTAGTTATTTTATCAATAGGTATGGATAAAGGACATACGCTCAAATCAACATCAGTTGGGCAATGAGATACAAAAAAATAGGTCACGGTTTTGGCCGGTTTGTTCCAACATTAATCACTAGCTAACTAGATTAGGGATCGGTAATGTGAGGCATCGTTTATTTCACCGAATTGAGTTTTCAATTCTAGTTTTGTTACAGTTAAAAGCTCTCACAAAAAATCACATCTAATTTTTTTTTTTTGCTACAGTTAAAAGCTCTCATATAAAGTTATATCTCAGCTCGAATTGACAACTCAAATTAGCAAACTGAACGAGGCCTGAGTTGGTGATACATTTGGTTTGGCACCTACTGTCGGATTTCGTCCTTCCAATTACTTGATTAATGTTGACCATATTTTATTCCTTTGTTGCGAAAATAATGGATGTGCACATGCATGCATGAGATTTTCATTTCAAACGTGCACGGAATGCTCATTTACCACCCGCAACAATATTTTACACCCATTTTTACACATTTTTCATTCTACTAATAAGTGAAAATTATAAATATTTCTACTTTAATAAAATTTCTCCTAGTTAGCTCAAAAGTTATTAATTCTTATGAGACCATCTCCAATACAAATATTAATGTCAATACTATATTTATCATTACAAAGTGTGAAAATAACATATATATTATTTATCATTACAAAGTGTGAGAATAACATATTTGATATGCTATTTTGTTTTATGCTCTAAAGAATAATGCTATTTCAAATGTCATATATACCTTTTGTTTCATGATTATCAAATTTTGGAACTTGTAAAAGTAGATTTTTAATATAAAAATAATTTTAAAAGAACAATGTTGCTATGATTAAATAAAAAGGTTAACATATCAACCCATAAGAATTAATACTAAATACCAAGTATAGTATTGGTCAAATTTAGCATAAAAATAACATTGTATTGGAGCAGTCAAATGCTAAAATTTAGTAAAAACACATCAATTTAATACTATATAAATATTGGAGGTGTTCAAGAGAGTAGAAACTTAAAACATGAGCCGCCATGAAGTCATATTACGCTCAAAAATAGCAGTTATCCGTGCAAATTCCACCAGCCAAATTAAGAGCAATAATAAAAAGAGTAAGTATAAAAGGTATGATAATTACCATAATATATAACAATAAAGGGCTTGTTAGCATTTTTTTTTTGACGGAGGAATTGTTAGCATTGATAACCAAGACATCAAATTTCTTGTAATTCAACATTTTGTTTTTGGTAATTTTTACTATTTATTGAAAATGTTAATTTAAATGTATTCACGAGAAGATTGCATGGTATCGTATAGAGCAAATATATTAAAGAAAATTCTACCAAAAATATAATATAAAGACAAAGCTCAATGTTAATTTTAATTATCAGAATATAATGCGAGTATATTACTAGTTCAAGTCTAACAATTAAATGCCCAGTAAATAAGAATTTGATAATTATTAGAACACGGTAGTGTTATATAAATATATATATATATTTGCAATAGTTGGAGCGTGATAATTTAACAAATATTAGAAACAAACTTTCAAATGATGTTTCACTTGTAGTGTAGTATTAATACTCATAGCTATTTGGCTTCAACATATTAGAAATACCTAAAAAGAAGCTTTGGTATCGGTTCCAAACGGCCAGTTTTTTGGCTTCATCATATCGATATAGAATTATTCAGGCCTTATTCACTTCGCGGATTCGAGTTTTCAATTCGAGCTGAGATGTG